CTCAAAAAAAAAAAAAAAAAAATTAGCCAGGCATGGTGGCATGCACCTGAAGTCCCAGCTACTCGGGAGGCTGAGGCAGAAGAATCACTTGAACCCGGGAGGCAGAGGTTGCAGTGAGCGAGATCATGCCACTACACTTCAGCCTGCATGATAGAGCAAGATTCCGTCTCAAAATAAAAATAATAATAATAATAATAATAATGATAATAATTCATTAAGTCCTATTACATCAGCTAAAAGCCAATATCCCTTAAGTTTCTAAAATAATCATTTTTAAAAGACTTAGAAATAATTTAGAAACAAATACAATTAAAGAAATTGGGTAACTTAAATGTACACCTATGATCCTTGATCAAAAATCAGGAGCAGGTAAGGATTGCTCTAAACCATGTGACTACATTCTGATCCAAATGTGATTACATCCTGTTCCTTGGTGCCACTGTCAGAAATGGACTCTTAACACTGTCAAATACAGCACTGTTTTTGTTTTTTTTTTAGTAAGTCTTATAATAAACTACATAAGGTGATCTACAGATTCAACATACCCTCTATCAAAATTAGACTAGTCTTTTTTACAGAAATGAAAAAACTGGTCGTAAAATTCATATGGAAATTGGGTGGGCCCTAATTTGCCAAGAAAATCCTGAAAAAGAACAAAGTCAGAGGACTCACACTTCCCAATTTCAAAATTTACTACAAAGCTATAGTAATCAAAACAGTGTGGTACTTAGGCCAAACGGATAGAAGTAGGAGTCCAGAAATCAACTCATACATCAATGGCCAATTGATTTTTTCTGTGTGAGTGTTAAATTAACAGGACGTTTTTTTCCTTATGTTTTCTTTTTTTTTTTTTTAATTTTTTATTTCCACAGGTTATTGGGGAACAGGTGGCACTTGGTTATATAAGTTCTTTAGTGGTGATTTGTGAGATTTTGGTGCACCCATCACCCAAGCAGTATACGCTGCACCCAATTTGTAGTCTTTTATCCCTCACCCCCTTCTCACACTTCCCCCCAGAGTCCCCAAAATCCATTGTGTCATTCTTATGCCTCTGTATCCTCATAGATTAGTTCCCACTTATGAGTGAGAACATATGATGTTTGGTTTTCCATTTCTGAGTTACTTCACTCAAAATAATAGTCTCCAGTCTCATCTAGGTTACTGCAAATGATTGACCAGTTGGTTTTTGACAAGGGTGTCATATCTGTTCAATGGGAGGAGAACAGAGTCTTCAACAAATGGTGGTAGGATTATTGGTTTTCACATGAAAAAGAATGAAATTGGACCCCTACTGCACACCACAGACAAAAATTAACTCGAAATGAATCAACAAGCTAAATATAAGAGCCAAAAGTAAACTCTTAGTAAAAGCATAGGATTAAATCCTCATGACCTTGGAGTTGGCAATAGATTCTTAGCTCGGGAAAATAAAAGCATGAGGAGCAGGAGAATAAACACAGATCAACTGAATTTCATCCTAATTAAAAAATGTGCGTCAAAGGGCCTTAACTGAAAAGGCAACCTGCAGAATAAGAAAGTATTTGCAAATCACATATCTGATAAAGATTCAATATTCAAAATACATAAAAAATTCTTAAACAACAAAAAGACAACCCAATGTAAACTTGACAAAGGACTTACATAGGCATTTCTCCAGAGAAGATACACAAAGAGCCGATACACACATGAAAAGGTCCTCAGCATCTTTAGTCATTAGAGAAAAGCAAATCAAAACCACAGTAAGATACCATTTCACACCTGAAGCCACATGCAAATGAGATACCAGGATGGCTACAATTTTTTACTATTTCCCTTTTTTAAGAAAGCAAAAAGACAGAAAAAAAAAGAACGTGGAGGACTTGGAACCCTGTGCATTGCTAGTGGGCATGTAAAATTATACAGCCACTGTGGAAAACAGTTTGGCAATTTCTCAAAAATCTAAACATAGAATTAACATATGACACAGCAATTCTAGCCCTAGATAAATACCAAAAAGAACTGAGAGCAGGGACTCAAACAGATATTTGTACACCAATGCTCACTGCAACATTATTCACAGTAGCCAAAATGTGGAAACAACCCCAGTGTCCAACAATGGATGAACGGATAAACAAGCTGTGGCATACACACACAATGGAATACTATTCAACCATATAAAGGAATGAAGTTCAGATACCTGCTACAACACGGATGAATCTTGAAAACATACACTAAAGACAACAAGCCAGCCACAAAAGTACAAATATATGATTCCACTTACATGAAATATCTAGAATAGGCAAATTCATAGAGACAGAAAGACGATTCAAGGTTGCCAAGGGTTGGAGAAAGTGGTTTGGAAAGCATAATGGTTTCAGGGTTTCCATCTGGAGTTACAGAAAAGCTTTAGAAAGAGGTAGCACCACTAGTGACACAACAGTGTGAATGTAATTAATGCCACTGGAACACACACTTAAATGTAACCATATATTTAAAAATAGTTAAAATGACATAGTTTACATATCTTTTTTACCACAATAAAAAAATCTTAGAAAAGAAACTATAGAGAGGATATTTGGGTTTCTTGGCAAAAATCTGGGACTTGAATAAGACAAAGTAGAATCTCTATTTTAACAAACAGCAAATCTTAGGAACAAATGAAGAGTTATATTTGATGATGGACAAACTGGGAACCTGTCTCTTTTATATGATAATTTAACAATGAAGTGACAGACGTTGGGTGAAAGAACTAGTTAGAGATGGGCAGAAGGTAAACAAATACGACTGAAAGACAGGTCGAGTATGCATTATCCAAAATGCTTAGAATCAGAAGTGCTTTGATTTTGGATTATTTTGGATTTGGGAATATTTGCATGTATAGGTGCAGCATCCCTACTCTGGAAATATGAAATCCAGAATGCTCCAATGAGTATTTCCTTTGAGCACCACGTCAGTGCTCAAAAAATTTCAAGTTTTGGAACATTGTGGATTTGAAATTTTTGGATTAAGAATACAACTTAATCTTTATTTTAAATCAAAGTTTAGAAGAGTCATTTATATGAACATTTTTTCACCTAATATTAATCTCATTTTTTTCTTTATCCATGGTCATAGATTTGAGGTTTTTTTCTCTCTCTACAAAACATATATTATTTCTCACATATATATGATTCATGTGAGAAACTTTTGTTTAAATTTAAGATATAAATAATGTATTTGTGAGAATATATTATATACATAACATACAACACATAACAAAATAATATGTGTGAGTAATAATATATATTAACATACAGTCATGCATTGCTTAAGGATGGAGATATGTTCTGGGAAATACGTTGTTTGGCGATTTTACTGTTGTGTGACCATCAAAGAGTATACTTACATAAACCAAGATGGGATAGCCTACTATCAACCTAGGCTAGATGACACAGCCTATTGCTCCTCCGCTACAAACCCATACAGAATGTTACTCTACTGAATATTGTAGGCAATTGTAACACAATGGTATTTGTGTATCTAAACATCTAAACATTGAAAAGGTACAGTAAAAATACCATATTATAATCTTCTGGGATGACCACTGTATATGTGGTCCATTATTGATCAAAACATTATTACACAGTGCACGACTAGATAATATTATTTCTGACATATATATTATTGTGCTATCTATTCCTCTTCCAAATGTTCACTGGACACGTAACAGAATCGATATTACCAATATAAACTCAGTAATCAATACTGAGAGTTTACAAAAAACCTCACTAAATACAGTCCCTCTTCTTAAGTAGTTTATATGCCATGGATGACAAGTACACAAACAGCTATAACCCAATGACAAGTCAAGAAGTGAGTTTCATTGAGAGGTGAATTCTCAATGGCCAGGCTCACTCAGTAGCTAGTTGAGTGAAAAACACAAATCAGCATTTGTAATTCAGAAGGCAATTCAAATTCAGCAAATTACAAATGACCATAAAGAGCTTTAGGGTTACCTCGGCAAAGATCTGTTGTTTACCAAGATAAACAAGATATTTTAAAATTTCAGACTCCTTAATTTTTAAAGATACATGGCTTATCTTTTCTACTTAGAATTAAATATCTTTCAAAAGTTATTTCTGGTCTTCTAGGAGTTTCAGTCTTTGTGTGTATATGTGTATTTGTATATAAGACACGCTATTAACACACATGTATTAACACATATATGAATAGCTGTCTTTCAAAAACAAGAAAGATGAAGGTTAACAGTTATCAATGACAGTTAGCCTGAATATTTTAAAAACCTGTTCTTTCTAACTAGACACCAACATTTGACAAGAGGTGTCTAGTCAGAGGCCATGAAGTAGGAAAAGTGGGTGGTGGAAGGGAGAAGTATTATGGTATATGTGTTTTAAGAATGCTGATAGTCTTCTCCTTCTATACAGAATGAAAATGTGATCACTATAGTCTATTTTAAAGCTTTCTAAATTGTTCTGTATAAATACACTGTACACCTTGCCTTTCAACAATTCAATCTCATTGTAATTTCAGCATGTCCTTAAAATCTTACATTAAACAATCACAAGATAACAACTAAAAGTGATGTAGGTTCACTTCTGGTAAATCTGTGAGTTCTCTGCCATGTCAAAAAAGAAAAAAAATTAAGCCCACCAGTAAATGATTACTGAAAAGACCACTTGCAGCATATGAAACAGATTATTCCTAAATGCTAGTACTCCCTCAGTATGGCTAATAATGACTGCTCTAAAAACAGTATAACAATTCAGACTTTCATTCCATTAAATTTTTTTGCTGAAGTTTTTATACAAAACAATGTAAAAACTAAAAAGTAAAATTGTTAGCAAAATTGAAACTAAGTTACATACTTTTACAGGTGCAAATGGTATGACTTTGTAATACCAAAAATATGAAGACAAAAAAATTACTAGGTAGTCTTCCATATAATATAAAAAAAGAGAGAAAACTAAACTTTCCTTCAAGACTCCCACACAGCATGAAAGTTTGAGAATGTAAAGTCTTACCTAGTTTTCGTAAATACCCATAGGCAATGAAACACCAGACAGGGTGTTGCAGGTGTTGTAAGGTCCAATTGTCCGAAGTTTCTGTGACCACATTTTCCTCTCCCAAGTTGGGTCAAGAGCACTTTCTGCCAGTGTGAGCTTTCCACGAAAGGCAGTCACAGAGCATAGAAGCCTCTTCTATCAGTGTCCCTAATCTTGCCCTTTGTATGGGCCTCCACATTCTTCTTGTACGTCAGAACTACCCAGTGGAATGCAATTCTCGGTATCGGAATGTAAACTTATTCAAGTCAGCCTACACCCAGCAAGGGAATACACAGGAGTCAAACAGATATTACACTGGTGGGCAATCCTAATTTACAAAATGATTAAAAACATAATACTCCAATATATCAATTTTTCACACCCCTGTTTCCAGAAAATGATAGGCAGTTACTAAATTTTAGTTTCTTCCTTAAAAAAGTCTAAGTAACTGACTGGACTGATGTTCCTAAATCAAAACCAATTTATTTGTTTAGGACTTACAAAAAAACAATCACATAACACTGTCTTCAGACAGTAGAGTGGCAATTAAATTAGGGAGGAAAAGCTAACAAGTAACTGCTGATGCCATCAATTCCATTCTCAAAAATTGGTAACATATATAAGAATAAATTTTAATATAAGTATAAAAGGAAAGTGGGTTGAAAGACTTTCCATAAAATACATGTAATATATTCTTAATAAGTTAACTCATTAGTTTAGACCCCAAAAAAGTAACAGCTATGTTAAAAATCACACACACACACCAGATATATATATAAATTAATGTATGTGTGTAAACTGCAAACTGCTTCTAAAGCATGGACTTTAACCGGTTTATATTTCAGAAGTATTGGGAAAACTGAACACACACTATACATCTCTACATTTCTTTCAAGGCTCACTTAGAAACAGTCTAACAATCATCACCCTACACAAATTAACAGAAGTTTGTTCCTCTGCAAAGTGGATCTCAACATTTAATCTCTGCTTATAAAAATAGAGTATACAATAAAAATTATTATACAATATGAAGGCCTTATAGCTGTGCTATTCCCCCTGTTCATTCCTCAGTAGTTTGTTGTCTATTTAACAAACACTAAACATACTTAAGCTACTAACATTTTAATTCCTTTAAAAAAAATTCTAACCTGCACTGTCTTCAGTATATTTGAAGTACCACTAACAGCAATAGTGCTGTCATCTTCTATAGGAGCTCTTTTCTCTGCAACACTGAGCACTCCCCATTTCCTTGTGTGTTTTCTCCCAGTGAGTCCATGCGCGCGGCGTAGCTTGTACAGAGGCCAACATTCCATCTGACGGCTAATTTCCTGCTTCGATGACCCACCCACCTCTCCTGGCTGCAGCTATGTGTTTCGCATGTTGTATGGGTACTCTTTTTGCATACCAGCCTCATGACCTCAGCGGCTGCCTGACAGACACTCTTTATCAATTTCTATTAATTCATTATCTACTCTCTTGTAAGTGAAGGGCAAGTAGGGAAATCTGCAATGTCTGCTCTCCTCAGTCTTCAAGGTCAAATGCTTCGTGCTGGCAATACAATTTTGTTATTAAAATTTACCCAAGCTGTGCTACAAACTAGTTGCTCTCCGCCAAAGAGATGCTGAACTGTATACCTGGCCTGGGGGATTATCATGGAAAAGACTAGAATAAATTTAAATCAAACAGCACAGGAAAAGTTAAAAGAGGCAGATTTGCTCTCGTTTTTCCCTTCAAGAGAAAAAAAGGTGGCTCTTACCTCAGCTGTATTGGGGTGAAGAGAGCAAGCAGTTTTTCTCTCTTGCCACAATCTAAACCAGCAAAGATCAGTGGTGTGATGACTACACTTTGGTAGTGTCTATGTCCTCGTGACCAAACTGCTAGAGAACAGCTCAGCTAAATTAATCTGCTGCTATCAGTCTACACAGTGGCACAAACAGGTCTCTGCTGATCACAGTGCTTTGTACACAGATGGCAGCTGATCAGCTTGTATAAAAGTTATGGTCCATAACAGCTTTTCGTTTCAGCATGTAGACACATGCCCATCCAATATACTTTTGTTAAATGTTCACCATTTCAGTGTGCAAAGCTGGCCGTGTATGAGTTGTATAGACAAGGAAGCTTAGCTCTAATATCTCATTTTCAAATGGCCTTATTTTTTATAAAATTCATTCAAGAAGTAAAATAAACAATTACATTAAGAAATAACCAAACAGATCTATGTACCATATTAATGAGAAAAATGGCAGATGAATATAATGAATGATTCAGATTGGCCCTAAGCAAGTAAGAACTTGATTTCAAGAATCACAACTAAACATGTGCTATTCTTTAAAGCTCTATGTTAATGGCATCAAAACCTAGCCACTAACCTGCTCAAAAATTGGCACATACCATAAGAGAAGTTGAAATGGTAAGTATGTCTTTGTAAGATTGAACCTCAACAAAAATTCAGGTCACTTGAAAAATACTGTATTCATAATTCTTGGAAGTTAAAATAAGACATGTCCAAGAAAGGAAAAGCATAAACTCATACACATATATAATCTTTTACAAAGATATCAAGTAATAAAATGGCAACTGATTTAATTCATCTGAATTAAATGTGGACTTTTCTCATGAGCCTGTACTTGTTTTGTAAGTGAAAGACTGTTCTACCAATAACTAACACTGGCAATATTGCTTAACCTTTGTTTCAGAGCTTCCCCCTTATAGACTGAAGTGGTAAAAACCTATTACTTATAATCAAAATATAAAATACTTAGGAATAAATACAATGAAGAATGTGTATGATCTGTATACTAAAAACTACCAAAGGGAACTTAACCTTGCAAAGGGCAATTCTAGAAAACTTAAATGGAGAGAGTTCACGGTTTGGAAAGCTCAATATTGATAAGATAGTAATCTTTCCCAAGCTGATCTACAGACTCAGTGCAATTCCAACCAAATCCTAACGAACATTTTTTTGGCACTGATAACCTGGTTTAAAATTTATATAAAAAGGCAAGGACAGAATAAAAACAAGCAAGAACAAAGTCAGGGATTTACGCTATATGACTTCAAAAGTGACTATAAAGTTACACAAATGAAGACAGTGTGGTAAACTGACATGTAAAGCAATGGAACAGAGGAGAGATTCCAGAGATAGATCTAAACAAATATTTCATAGTTAAATAATTTATTTTTACAATTAATTGATTTTAAACAAACATGCCAAGGCAATTCTATAGATTAAAAATATTCTTTTCAATGAAGTCTTCTAGAACAACTGAATACCTGTATGAAGAAATGTAAATCTCAACCCTTACCTCACACCACACACAAAAATTAAATCAAAATAGATCTCAGACCTAAATGGAAGAAGTAAAACTATTACATTTCTAGAAGAAAAACTGAGGAAACCTTTATGACATGAGGTTAAGAAAAGATTTCTTAACGAGGACACTAAAAGTACAAAGTATTAAAAAAACAGGTTGACCACATGGACTTCATTAAGATTAAAAGCCTTAGCTTTCAAAAACACAGAGTTTTTATTTTATTTTTTTTTTAAGGTGCATGTTAGATTAGGAGGAAATTTTTGCAAAATATAGCCAACAAAATAATTGTATCCAAAACACATAAAGATTGCTTACACAACTCAAAAATAAGACAAACAATCCAATTTTTTTAAAACAGCAAAAGAGGTGAACTGACACTTTGCCAAGATATAGAAATGGCCAACAAACACATGAAAAAATTATCAACATTAATCTTCAGAGAAATGCAAAATAAAAACCACAGTAAGAATACTGCCACATATCTACTAGAACAGCTAAGATGAAAAAGACTGACAATACCAAGCGTTGACGAGGATGTGAGGCAAACAGAAATCTCATAAACTGCTAGTGTGCATAAAAAATGTTATAGCCACTGTGGAATACAGTGTGGGAGTTCCTTATACAGTTAAATACACATTTACTATGTTATCCATCAATTTCACCCCAGGTACCTTTCCAAGACATTAAGGAAAGCATACCACCCACCCACACAGATATTTGTGAATTCTCATAGAAGCCAAAATACGAAAGCAACTCAATCATTTTCAAATTAATGTTTTGTGAAAGATTAATACTGCCTCATTTACAAAATTCGGTAACTTTATAAACCTGGCATTCACTTTATGTAAGGATTGACAATATATTGCATGGCTTGCTAAAATAAACCATGAGACATCTCTGCACTGGGTTGGGCAGTACAGCAAAATTTTAAAGTTTTCAAATTCTGTTCCTGTTTGTTACTTTCTGACATAGCTGTAAGTACTCTTCTTTTCCTTCGGCATTCTTTCTATTTACCCAACCTCCACCTACCCTACCCTGTATCTACAATCTTTCTCAGGAACCCAGGTTATCTCTTTAAATCCCCTGTAGCTCCCATCTATTTGTCAATGCATTAATTAAACATGCCTAAAATCAAGTATCTTCATTTCAACTCTGATACCCACCTACCTCATTCCCTCCAGATTTGGTTATAGCTGTCAAAGTAATTGCTCTATAGACATCCAAATTCAAAGAACAGAAGCCATTTTTTACTTTTTTTCTTCCCTTGTCTGTAACCTTCAGTCACTAAATTCCACCAATTAGCCCTTTTAAATTATTCTCCATCAACTTCTTTTTCCATGGAAATACTATTCAGGCCCTTAGCTTTGGCACACAGAGACCATTAAGATAAGGTTCCTGTCTCTGGTTTCAACTTTACCAGATCTTCCAGGGATTCTCTTCTTCTACTGATCTACCTTTAAAACAATTACACATCGATTTTAAAGTTATTCACCTACAGCCTCTCTGTTCGAATCTGATTAACCACCTGCTGGTATGCTTTTAAAACAAGAGAGTCCAAGGTCCAACCCAGATGTGGCAAACCAAAATCTCTAGGGCGTGGGACTCAGCATTTTGCCCATCCTAAGCCAGGCAAATCTAATAACTGCCTGGTTTGAAAACCTCTACCTTGGGCAATTACTTTGAAAGTCTTGCCCCATGTCATCTTCAAACCATCATTACTGCCAAACACAAGGACTCTAAAGTCTTTTCTATATACTGTCCCACAAGCACGTTTTTAGAAAAATTAAAATTCATGCTTCTTGGGCTTGAATGGTAATCAAGCAGCTCTTCTCTACTATATTTGAAAGACTAAAATTACTTTATGTTCCAACATAGATAATCAATGAAAAAAAATCTGTTTCAGTCACAGTGATGCTTTCAAACACAAAATTTCCTATACATAAGAGATTTTAGAAGTTTACTTAAATGGGGCCAGACATGGTAGTTCACACCTGCAATCCCAGCACTTTGGGAGGCCAAGGCAGGTGGACCACTTCAGGCCAGGACTTCAAGACCAGCCTGGCCAACATGGCAAAACCCCATCTTTACAAAAAATACAAAAATTAGCCGGGAGTGGTGGCACATGACTGTAATTCCAGCTACTCAGGAGGCTGAGGCACAAGAATCACTTGAGATGGAGAGGCAGAGGTTGCAGTGAGAAAAGATCGCACCATTGCACTCCAGCCTGGGTGGCAGAGCGAGACTCTGTGTAAAAAAAAAAAAAATCACTTAAATGGGATAATGGCTATAAAACCTGGAATACCTTATTCAAAGCCAATTCCTTAGTTTGTGTTCCCAAAATTATGTAAGTTAAAATTCAAGATAAGGTGAAAAGAGGTAAACGGAAATGGTCTCATGATTCTGAGTAATAACTAAATTATTATCCTGGACTAGCTCCATCATGGCAAGAAAAGAGGGAAACATATATGTCTCCGATACATACACGCTAGAATATATATACGTTCATCCTAAAATATATCTGATTTAGCCTAATGAAATGGAATTTCTCAACTTGAGGTTTTTCTATGTGTAAAACTGAATTAAGTCTGCCTAATGACTATTTTCTAAATTCACCCTAATGAACCATAAAATAATAATAATAATAAAACACAAGAATGTGTTTGACAAATTTTAAATTGCCCTCATTTTTAAAACTATCCGAAAATGTTTAATACCAAAGTTATCTCAAGGAAATTACACTTACATTCTAAGCAATTTCTAGTTATAAAACACGAAAAGGTAAGCCATCAATTAAAGATAAAGTTAAGATTATCTTGAAATATCTGACTCAAAAAAAGTAGATAAAAGTAGAACCAAGAAAATAATGATTTAATGTTTGTGTAGCTCTCTAAATACATGAACAGTCAATAGCAGAAATTCTATTTTCTATTTAATAGCAAAAATATGTAACCCCTATAAAGCCATAAGAAACATCTAAGACAATAATTTAAATATTTTGGACTCACAATTCAAAATACTAATTGGTAATAAAAAATAACTGCAGATCCTTTTAAAAACCATATGACATTTAAATTCTTACATTTAAAAAAGCAATAATATAAATATCTAAGCTACAGTCCTTCACTTTATTATTTCAACAAGTACTGTCAAAAAATTTATAATACATGGAAAAAATTAAGTGGGTGCCTAATACAGAATAAAGTCATCTTCTTTAACATTTCAAAATATGATTTTGTTGTCTTCTATATATATATATACACACACATACACACACATATTCAACTCATAATAAGGTCCCTGAACTATGATTAATTTGACATTTTTATCTTAATAATGACATTCCAATTTCCCAGAGTACAATATGCATCACATCTCAATCCTTCTTTTAACTATATTATTACTCTTATTATTTTCTGTTAGTGACCCCAATACAGAGAGTACACTTTCTTAAACAAAAACAAATTTAGCTGCTCTATTATTTTAAGATACACCCTGAATTCACACAAGTGAAACAGTAACTCACACATCCTTTTGTCCCTTCTCCAAAAACAACCGGAGCACAGACAAGAGTTAGGAGTTCCTGAGCACTTAGCAATGGGTAACCAACCGAAACATCTTCTAGAGAAAAACAATACTGTGTTTCATTGACACAAACATCAGACTCTAAAATCTTTATGAAATATAGTATTATTTATTTCTTCAAGAGAAATATAAACATCACTGCAAACAGGACTTCTGGGATGAACTATCACACACCCATTTATAGCAAGGATCACAAACAATGCCCTAACTGAAGACTTTTAAGCATCAGGTGACCTGTGGAACTCCATCAACTATACACACAAAAAATATCACAGTCCTTCTCTTTACGGCTACTTACTGTGTTAAGACACTACCAATCCCAGTACTCCAAAGGCCACAGAAGCCTGCATAAACGTACAGCACATCTGCGATGTTGTAGTTATAGCAACCAAATTCCCAACTTGATGCAGCAATTGAACCCTCTCCCTCTAGAGAACAGTTTTGCTCTGTGCATCAGGTATCACATTGGAATATGATGTACAACAGGAAAGAGGGTTCTAAATAATGCTAAAAATCATGTTAGTGTTCCAGGATGAAGATACTTCATACTGAAGCAGAAAGTATGACGAACACCCGAAGGGGGAATATTTTAATATATACCACTGTGACTATTTACATATTTCACTTTACTCCTTTAGAGACCTACCTTATTTTACATTTAAAATAGAATATACTTACATCTAGTGTAACTAAAGTTTCCCTTCAATATCATCAACTCTAGTTGAACCAAGTTGACATTTGTTTCATCATTTTCTTTGCCTTATTTGGAATTCTCTCCCAGCACTTCCTTAAAACCTTTAATATAAGCCTTTGCCTTATATATGTCATAGGAATACCAGGACTTGAGTAAACTTTCAGTAGGACAAATAGGAATTACAGATAATGCAAAAAAGCTAAAGGAGCGTGGCTAAGCTGATGTAGAATGTGAGCACAGGCAATTAATGCACTCCAAGAGTGAGGGGGAAAACTGAAGAGCAGGTGTAACAGAGACCGAGGCTTCCCTGCTCCAATATCCATTTTCCTCTTTCTCCTTAGAAGGATATTTTTATATTATTTTTAGCAGGGCGCATCACGTTGCAGAATAAAAGACTACATGTCCCAGGATCCTGGGTGGCCTGAAGCAGCCACATGACTACATTCTGGACAATGAGATATAAATAGAAATGATGTTTCAAGGAATCTGTCTTGGATGGAAAAGGTAACTTTTCTGCTCTATTGCCTTTCCTCCTGCTTCTAGCTTTTAATACAGACATGATGGCCGGAGTTCGGCAGACATGATGGCTGGGGTTCGGCAAACATCTGTGCTACCAACTGACCCTGAAAATACAAGCCACATGCTAGCACAAGTAGAGAAGAAGGGTGGAAGCCTATAACCTTTCACCTTTGGAGTCACCACCAAACCATCCTGGACCATCCACTCCCAGGGTCCTTTTCTGTGAGAGAAAAATTGGGTCCTACTGTATTGTTGCAATTGGTTTTTGCAACCAAAACTAATTACAACTAACACAGTAAGAAAACCAACATCCAGCAAACACCATTTGCCTTTTTTCCTCTTCTACACCCCTGCAAAGATCGAACAATATCAATTTATCATACGGTTTCCCCAGACTCCTCCTCCATTACCTTGCAACCTCATTCTTTTCCCTGGTTTTCTCATCTATAGATACCAACCTGACATTAAATAAATTGTAGGCTACTGAAAAGTTATTTCTAAAAGGGAATATGTTATCATAATATTGTCAAACTTTATAAGTGATTTTTTTAAAGGGCAAGTTAAAAATATAATCCTGACCCAACAGAATTCAGCAAACATTTATTAAACGCCTGCTGTGTCCTAGGCACTGGGGAAGCAAAGATGAGTAACAGAGCCCACACCTTTGAAAGTATCACAGTTTAGAATGATATGCAATGATTGATCCTGACAGGAACACAAGGGTAGACTTCCTAAAGAAATTCACAGGGTAGGGGGAAGGTGCTAACAATGTGGTGGATATCCCAGACAGACACAACAGCTTAGACAAAAGTATGTCCAGACCACAGAGATCAGTAACTGTAGAGCACGTTGGAAGCACCACAAGCTGGAAGCATTTTGAGCTGCCCTATATGTCTCATCAAGGGAGTGTGGATTTATGTTTGGCAGCAGGAAATCACGGAATTCCCAAATCTACCAACTGACCTACATCTCTTATCCTAAGTTTATAAAAGAGCATGAAGTGCTTTCATGCTCTCAAAAGCTAACACCTCCCCCACCCCATCCCACCGCACTGTGGGAATTTCATCCACTTCTGCAAGTACCTCCCCTCTTTCCTTTATCACCTTTGTACCTCTCTCAACTGGATCATTTCCATCAACACACAAACACATGCTAGCATCTCCTAATTTTGAAGAGACAAACCCCTCTTGACTTTACAACTCCTAGTCACCACCCCATTTTCCCGCTCTACTTCACTATGAAATTTCTTGATATAAAGAAATTTTCTGTTTCACCAATTCTTCTCTCCCCATTGTCTCCCTAACCAGCTCCACCACTCCACTAACACGAGTCCTGTTAGGTCACAGGACTCCCATGTTGCTAAATCCAAAGGTTATGTCTCCCATTATTGAATGTCCCTGCAGCACTAGACAAAGTGACCCTTCTCCCTTCTCAAAACACTTTTTAATCTCTTGGCTTTGATAGCACATGAGGAGGATCTCTCCTTTAGTTCAGCACCACATTCTAAGCAAGCATGTAAGAAGCAATAAATATTTGTAGGATGAATAAGATAGAAGTATACGCATATCAAACATTGCAGGTGAGTTTAGGTCAAAAGTCAAGATAAAAGAGCTCATTAGTACTGATTAAGCACAAAGGTAAGAAATCTCTTGAAAAGACATGACTAATAACCTGGACTAATGTCTGATTTTAGAAATCAGTTCTGGTCACTTTTGCTCGTAACTTTTGATAATCCTTTTGGTAAACAATTCTTCAAAGATAAAGTTGTTGGGACACTACCCCTTGTAGTGATTAGGTTTTGCACATTAATATCTTAAAAAGAACAATACATATACTGCTCATTCTTGATAAACTACCTACTTAATAATTACCTAATAGGTTAATGCTTTGTAAAACTAATACAGGTATGTCAGTTTTTTACACCTGTTGTTGGATTAGGTGCAGGGTAAATAAGTACAGAAGACTTAAGGGAACAGAGTCAAGTCCTAGAGGATGAATTGATACACATACACACAAACAAATATATATTTATGCACATGTGTATATTTTAACTCAACTGTAGATTCAGTTATATATATATGCATAGATCAAATTGAATATTTTTAGGTTAAAATGGATGGCTCCCTGCCTAACCTAGTACTTTTATTAACTGACCAACTACAGGGCCCAATCACCTGCTTCTGCAAAAATAACATGATAATGAGTTGTACAAGATGAATCCTAAGATAAGCAGTTCTTA